ATCAAATAAATCATTCTTTGATTTGAATTTGATCAAATCAAATATTCAAATGTCAAATCGAATTGCGGAACCCTAATTACTAATTTTACTTACTCTTAATGCTTGTTTAGTCTGAGTTGAACTTTTATAATAATCATAATCTTGTATCTTCAGGTTTAGTTATTTCATAATATATACCATAAAGTTCCAATTGAATATTTCTTAATTTTCCAATAAAATATGTATATTAAGCATTTATAAAATAAAAATATAATTTTACAGTATTAGTAGATACTTTTACAAGGATAGACAAAACATGATAAGAATATATATTTAAGATATTTAAGCTGAAGTTGTTATTTAGATAAAAAAAAAAAAAAATAATAAATAAATTTCAAAATTTTTATTACATTTAATATTAAATTATCAGTTTTTTATATTATTTTTATTTTATTTTTCATAAATTTATTTTATTAAAAACATTTTTAAATTTCTTTTTTATTTCTTTTTATTTTTTTATTATTATTTATAAATTAAAATAAACTTACTATGCTAAAGCATATGCTGTAGTATTATCGCTTACAATTGCAGCTATTTTTATTGATAGTTATTTTAATTTTTGTTAATATATTTTCTATTTGTAAAACAATATCAATTATATGTTCTCTATGATCACTAATATCTATTGCCTTCTATACTAAAGTTTCATCTAAAGTTATTATTATCATAATTCCAAGTATTTCTTGGTTTATAATATTTTTTTATCCATCAAAAGCAAGTGTAATGCTAGCTTATTTGTATATTTGATTCAATTTATCTTGATATACTTTATCAATATTTTGAATAACTTGATCTAATATAAGACTCGCTAATTGTTTTCTATCTGGTAATTTTAAATTGAATTTAATCAATAAAAAAATGCTTGAGTAGAAGGATTGTTAACTCATTAAAAAGCCTAGCCATTAGCTATTATCATTTTAATTAAAAAATCATGAAATGTAGGAATTTCAGTTTTGGTTATATTTGTAAAGCATATTTTAGAAACAATGATTGTGATTTTTACTTCTTATTAAATTCAAAAGATTGTTTTGTAGAACTTGTAAAATTTGTCAAATTTGTCAAAAAACTTGAAATAAACATGATATTATCTATAAATAATAAATAATAATCAACTAATATTTCTTTTAAAAGATAAATCTAAAAAATTTAATATTTAACATTCAAATGTATTCATTTATTTATAGATAATTCATCTGTTTCTTCATCATTAATGCAATTATTTAATATTTCACCTTTTCTTCATATTTATTCCAAAAATATTCACAATTTGATAAATGTTTTTTAATTCTTTCTTTTCTATTAATTATAAGTTTGTCCTTTTCTTTTAAAATCTCATTACATACTTGATATATACATTGCTGATCTTTATCTTCTGAACTAACTTTTTTTAAAATGATTATATATAAAAAAATTATGTTTAAGATGACCTTGTTTTTTCAAATCATAATTCAAAAAAATTTAAAAGAATGAAAATAAAATAAAATAAGAGATAGAACAAGAGAATAGAAAAAAAGATATCAACAATAATCAATTTTTCAATTTTAAATTATAAATAAAATTAATTTCTAATTTTGGATTGTCTAAAACAAGTTTTGAACTAATCCAAATCCAATTGGACAGTCTTAAATTAATTTCGGACTTGTCCAATACCCATAAATTTATTGTCCAATTTGATTAACTAATTGGATATGTTCAAAACCCATCACTAAATTAGTACTATTAGAAAGGTTAAATTTCTCAAATCAATTTTAGATATAAATACTTGCTGAAATTCTACATACTTGATAATTTCTAGATTATTTTGCTATTATAATTATTATTTCTATAATTAATTACTATATTATTAAATTTTAGGAATTATCCTTAGTTTTACAACCTATGTATAGTTATTATTATTATCATCACACCCTACACAAGGTGATATACAATTGATTTTTCAAGGAATGTTTAAAAATTGGATTAATATCAAAGAGGAAATCATAATACACAAAAAGAAATAGCCTTAGAAATATATACCAAATTAAAGAAAGATTGGGATAAACATTAAATCAAACCTCAACAATTTCCTCAGTATTAGATCTGCGTTACAAAACCACATTATTCAAGCAAAGGATATCAAAACCAAAATTATCATCGTGGGATTATTTTCTTCAAAGTAATCATTAAGAAATGTCATGTGATAACTTAGATAGATATTTAAATTCCCCAGTAGATAGCACTAAGGATTATTTAACAAACCAATCCAACGTCAGTTCCTTTCAGAAAGGGCCTTTTCGATTTCAGGTTTAGCTATTTCAAAAACCAGAAATCGGTTAAATCCAGAAACAGCAAGGGCAATTATTTGTATGAAAAATTGGATTTCAGAAAAAAGAGGGAATTAAAAAGAAACTACCGCACATAAAAAAAAAAAAAAAGGGAATTAAAAAAATTTGTAGCAACAAAATAATTTTTTTTGTTATAGGTTTTATAGGTTTAGAATTAATTTTTTTTTGTCAATTTTTGACAATAAAATTTTTGTATTTTTTTTGTTATTAAAATAAAATAATTTCGATATTTGGTAGTTGTATTTTTTGAATGGTTTAAACTTCGGTCTAGACAACAATTCAAACCGGAGTTCACGGTTCAATTTTACTCTCCGCCGAAAATCGAACCGAAACCGAACTGATCCCTACGTAGAACGCGCAATAATAAAATTTTATCATATTTATTTATCAAATTAGAAAAAAAAAAATACGATTTCCAAATGTTGTTATTATTTTTGTCGTAAATTAAAATAAAAATTAGGGTAAAATGTCATTAAATCTAAAGAAAAAGAATCGGAAGAAAGATTATTATTTATTATACATTTTCAATCAATTTAAAGTAAATATACAAATATAAAAAAAATTATTTACATAATTATAATGATTAAAAATTTACTATTTTTTGAATATGTTATTCTTCTTTATGATGCTCTGGTTTGTGACTAGTCTCGTAATCTACATGCACAAATGCTCTTTCAACATTTATTAGTTTTTCTAATTTAACTTGAAGGCTTTCACCGATATCATGACTTTCCCAAAGTGGGGTTTCACGATCCATAACGATATCAACTTCTACAAAAAGATTGTTGCCAGCATGATAAGCCCGACAGGTATCAACTTGAAGAACTTTTGGGTGATGCGTTAATGCTATTGTAACAAATTTTGTATGCTGAAGTTAAATGATTGAAATGTGAAGTGAAAGATGAAAAAAAAGGATCGTAATTCTAACCGATATAAGTTGCACGGTTTAAAAATCCAGGTTCTGCACTTTTACCAACAATTAACTGAATTTGCTCTAATAAATTGAACCTTTTAAATAAACGAGAAATTACCATAATTTATATTTAATAATAAAAGGTTGATTACCATATGCGGTGGTTATCCAACTCCTTAGAATCAATAACGCTATAATAATAGCGCCAACAGGATCCATCCACCAATTTATATATCCAGACAATAATGTCATAGTCAAACCAAAAGAATTAATCATTAAATCATTTCGATGATCTTGACCAAGAATTCGTGCAATAGGAAATTTACGTTGAAAGAAACAATAGAGGAAAAGTATAAACTTTGTGACTATTTAATTAAATAAATGTGAATTGTTATAGCTTTGATAGAGATACGAATGTGTGACTATTAAATATCGTATGTATACCTAATGCAACGCCAATACAGACAATAGCTAACGGATGAATCTTTATATCGCGTTCACGTCCAATGAGTGCTTTGACAGCTTCTATCTATTGACATGCATTTATATGTTAACTGACTAATAGAATTTTAATTCAAATAGTATAAATACTTACTATTAATTCTATAGATACCGTACACATGAGTGAAGAGAATACTATGATTCCAGCAGTTTCCATTCGCGATTTGCCCTAAAAGATTAAAATTATCTTAGTTCAGTTTATTGCTTTTAGGAAATAAAATAATAAATATCATAATTATATGCAAAACTCGCATACAGTTGGATATTGTAAAATATTTTTGTCATTAGCTATTCTACCAGCAAATAATAAGATACTATTTGACAATAAATCCATAAAAGAATCGGCCATGGTTGCAAATAGTGACAGTGAACCTGAAGTAATGGCAGCATATAATTGAAGTCCAAATAAAATTATATTAGCTGCTAAAGAACCATTGACAGCAATTTTAAGCTTTTTAATTGCAATAGAATTTATAAGTAAATATAAAATATAGCATTAACAAATTTTAAAGCAAAAAGATAATTACTCTTAGCAAGTTGTTTGACGTATCTTTGGAGCTTTGTTTATTATCAATTGGGCTTAGATAACTATCAATAGTTTTATTTTGATCTCTATAGAAATTTTGGATTCTTTTGGAGCTTTGTCGAATTTCCTCCTCTGATTTCCGTATTGGACCCAAATTTAGTGGATCACCCGCAATGTTTTGCGTGGTAGGTGGAGATTCTGAAAGAGGAACGGGTCCAGCCGTAATACGAAGAGATAAATTTGAATCAGAATTGTAAAGTGCAGTAGATTGTGCTAAAGTATTTGGATAAGATTCAAGAATAGGTGTTTGTGTTCTTTTAGGGATGCATGCATCCTGAGCGGATTCAGGTGTGGTAGTTAAAGCGAACTTGGCTGAAGAAGAAACTAAAAAACTATCCATAATAGTTGATCGATTCAATATACAATTGGGGTTATTTATTGTTGTTTGTTTAATTAATTTAACGTTAAGTGATTAGACTCTGATGCTTATTTCCATATTTAGCAATAGCTCATATATAGAAAAAAAACATCTGATTTTATCATAAAAAAATGGATGTTAACCCGTTTTCAGACTTTTGTAATTTTGACTTTGAAGAACAAGATACGAAGAAAACAGAAAAGGTTACTTCTCAGAAAAATCAAGTTTTACAAAACGAAAACCTCGAATATATACCTAAGCATGATTACGATGGAGTATATATTTATTTCAATTTTAAATACCTATCTTGAACTTTTTTAACATATTTTCATTATATACAGTGGTTCCATACAACAACTACATCATTTTCTATACTCCTTCGCTCAAAGGGAGGTCCTACACAAATAAAACAATCGATTGAACATCTTTATTTTCATCGAAGATTTGAAGAATCTTTACGTTTATCGCTTGAATATATCAAATTTATTGAACAATGTAATAACCTTTCTGATAAAAAAGAAATTAAAATTTATAATCCAAATAGATTAAATAACCCCCGTGAAATGTTGGAGATAGCTTCAAGATGTGCTTTACAATTAAAAAATGTCAAATTAGCTGTTAAATGCATCGACAAATTGGCAAGTGACTTAGAGAAAGTTTTTATCTTAATCTAAATTATACTCTATAATTATATATGTTTACACTTTAGGTATCGAATGAACCAGGGCATATGCGGTTGAGAGGGATGATTTATGCAACAGGAGGCCGTTATGCAGGTTCGGACTATTAAAATTTATTTTATTAATTATAAATTCAATGGTTAATTCTATTTGGATTTTTATAGATTCAATACATTATTATATAAAATATTTACAGATTCGAAATAATGATTATAAAATATGGAAGGAAATGAGTCATACATTTCTTTACTGTTATTACCATTTTGCTAATCCCAAAGAGGATTTCACAACAGATCTTATGAAAATTACAACTCAAGGAATTTTTCAAAGCACACTTATTACAAAACTTGCCCTGATTTGCATTAAACGTGCTTATGAACTAATGTTAATAACACCATGGGCAACTTCAGTGAATTATATTAATTCGCGTTTTACGCATGAGAAACGAGAAATCGAATACTTATCAAATTACTTGGAGAAAGTAGATGACAATTTCGAAGAATCAATGTCATTGTTAAATAATTTAGAAGAGAATGAGACAGCAAAAAAAATGATAGCGGAAAATGGATTTGATTTAGAAATGATAAAATGGATACTGGTGGAATCCAAAATAAGCGTCAATGGGTTGTATTTGATGGATCAAGAAAGATTAGCAAAGGACTTATAGGGAATGAATAAGTATACATCAAAAAATAAAAATAATATTAAATAATATTAAAAATAAGTTCTAAAATATATACGGATGGATTATTTAGACTCATTATTCATATGCTTTTTCTCCCATGGTTTTGGGCGTGGTTTAAAAGTGGGATTCGATGGGGTTCCCTTGTTTAGCTCATTGGGAATTTGCTTGATTCCTATATTATTCCATCAAAAAGACATTATTAATTGATAATGGATCTTTACAATAAAGGAGGAATTACCTGGTATCTGTTGTCCCGTAGCTAACATTTCAACTACTTGTTGGAATGATTGAGGATATTGCGGATTATCTTTTTATTAATAACAAGTAATATGAGTGAATATGCGGTCGAGGGAAATAAAAAATATTTTTTTTTTTTACCCGTTGTAGCTTGCTCAGGTCGTTCATCTTTTGTTGAAATCTCTTGGGAATCGGTTGACAACACAACAGACGATGACTTAATATTACTTTGATTACCTTCAAGATGGGATGATGCTGATTTGTTTAAATTCGTTTTCCACACTAAATAATCATTGTAATCAAATTCTTGAATTACTCTAAAACAACAAATTTAACTCGGCTCAATAAATATAATAAAACCCTCTAAATTATTTACACCTTTAAAAATACCTTACTTTGAATAATAAAACCATTTAGCCTTTTCTTTGAGAATATTTATTTCTTCTTTTGGCTTGCCTTGATATGAATTAAGAATTGAAGGTAAACCTGACTGAAATCATTGTAAATAAAGGCATTTTACCTCCTTATTTTAAAAAATGATTCGAGAGAATTGTGATTAATTATTACCTGAAAAGTAACATCATTTTCAAAATCATAATTTTCAAATTCTAAAAAAATTTGATTATCAGTCATGTTCATTTGAAAGGAGGAAAAATTTTTAATTTTTTTTTATATTAGGAATGATCTCATTGATGATTGGTTTAATCACATCAATATTTAAATGATAATTATCATTATCGTTCCTCGCAATTAAATAACAATGAATTTTAACATTTTACGTGTTCAATTCACAAATTCAATACGAACAGTCGGAATTCGACGTTTTCCTTTATTCCAAAACAAATCCATTTTAATAATAAGGAAACCTTTTGTAACGACTAGTACTAAATTAAATCCAAGTTTATCGAATAAAAATCATACCGAAAAATCTTTTTTATATAAAAGAGAATATAATACAACCAGTACAGTTAATACAACTCCCTCACGTAGGAGTAATACAGGGTCTAAAAGTATAGTTGAAAAGAAAAAGGCTAGAGAATGGAGTGAAATGACTATAGGACAAAAGGGTATTTATATCTTTTATTTTTTATTTGCCCTCTGAAATGAATATTTATATTTTTCTTGCTTAAATGATTTAAAGTTGCTGGTGCAGCTAAAGTTACAACAAACATCAGTGTAATAGCGATAGGAATTGGAATTTTTGGTATGTAAAGTTTTTAATAATATATTTCTTCGATAAATGAGAAATGTGATTAACACAAATTTTTCGAATCATTTCAAGGAGTAGTCATATATTTTATTATAAAGGAATTATTTAGTTCATCAGGTTCATCTAGAGTATTTAATGAGACTTTAGAGAAAATTCGATCAAATTCTGAGGTATAAATCGAAAATCGATCTTATCATACCCACAAAAGGATTTCTTTTCACACGATTCGAATTTTAGTGCCAAAAAATTTTAGGTATGCCAATAAAAGGTCACGGAGCTCCGAGTTCAAGAAGAAGACGACGTAATCGTTTGATTCGGTAAAGTCACATTTCTAAAACTATAACCATTTTTATTTGTCAAAATGGTATGCTGTATTTTTAACTTCACTTTTTTAGATTTCAAGAAGTAATTAATACTGATGGTACACCACATAAATTCATGCAAATTTACCTTTATGGTCCTATAACACATGGTATAGCTTTGCTTGATATGATTAAGGTAAGTTTACAGATTTTATTGGAAAGATTTTTTTATCGAATGATTTTTTATTTATTTTGTGCTGTTAATCTAGAATGATAAAGGAATTTGGGTTATTAAATATTTGGTTGTTACCATACCAGGTAATTATTTATTTTCAATCATATTAAATTTTTAAATTTTATTAATGAATTATGATTTTTATATATTTTAGAATATGGTAAAAAAATTTTTGTGGAATATAATGAAGACGTAAATAAGATGATAGATGAATCAGAAAACAAATAAGTTTACAGTTGTATTATATATAAATTATTTATCTTTATTTTTGCAATTCACCAATATATTATAAGAGACAATTTTTCATTTGTCTGTTATCCAGATGGATTGAATCGACCGTTAAGATACATTAATAGTCAAATATATTTATATGAAGAATTAAAAAATAATTTCACATCTACATGCAAAGGGTCCTATAATTTATGAAATACCTGTTTTATTTGACCTATCCGATCTATGGAATGACATGTTGTTGAAGATACTCCCGAAAGATGCAAATTAAACTTATTAATAACATGTTAAGCTTCCGATCTTTTCGTTTCATGGATATCTATAACAGTTAGATTATTAAGTACATAATCTTCAGTTATTCTCATTAATTATTGAGAGTACTGAGAAGAACCATATGGCTTCGCCAGTAGAAACGCTCCATCTAACATAATAAATTAATAAGTAAGGTGGCGTGTTTCAATTGATTGTTTTTATTCGAGATTGTTATAAACACGTAATCGGTAAAATATTCAATGTTGGATTTGCACCTATATAATATATGATGAAATGTAAGATAAATATATACAAATTAATAACAAAATATAGCTTATAAATTTAAATTTTTCTGAATAACATAAATATTAATATAAATATTTCTGTTACAAATATATTAAAAGCTGAAAATAAGCCTTTTAATAAAAATTTTTTTTATGATTTAATTAGTTATAAATAACTAAAATCTTAATTTAATTTCTATTAAATATACTGCAAGTTTAGAATAAGTAAAATAATTCAAAGTTAAATTGTATAAACTTATACAGTATATGTAAAGCTTATACTTATATATAACTATATATTTAAGGTTGTAACTTTATTAAATATATAAGAATATAAATTTTATTTAAAAAATTATTAGTATTATTATGATCAGTTGAATAGATCACTTATAAGTTATAAGCTTGATAATGGTATAAGTTTTATAGATAAATTATTTAAGTTAAATACTTTACAGAAACCCTTAAAATTCTAACGATATCGATTTGATATCGCAATAATATCGTAACGATATTGAATCGATATCGTTACGATATCTATGTCGATTCGATATCATAACGATATCACATCGATATGGAATCGATATCGATAT